CTTGTGAAATCCTTACCCTGATGAAAGACTGGAACAACCTCTTCACTTTAAATGACAAGCGCTGCATCATCCTAGTCAATTACTGCTCCACTTTCTGGAAGACAGACTATCTAAAGGACATGAGCAGGAACTGAGATCAAGAAACTGAAGGAGCATTTTGCAAGACTTGGCATACCTGACATGCTCTGTTCAGACAATAGAGCACAGTACACGGCAGCAGAAATAAAATAACTCAGTGACAAGTGGATATTGAACACATCTGTGTCTAGTTACCCACAAAACAAAAGGAAGGCAGTGATGGCAATAAATACAGGCAAGAGATTAAATGGAAAAGGCAAAACAGATGGGAAAGGACCCCTAACCTGGCAGGGTTGAACTATTGCGACACACCCTCCTAGGGTATGTCTACACTACAGCACTAATTCAAACTAACTTAATTCGAATTAGTTAATTAGAAATAAGTTAATTTGAATTAGTGTATCCAGACCTAAAAACTTATTTGAATTAGCGTTTTGCTAATTTGAAATAGCATGTCCACACTGAGTGGACCCTGAACCAAAGTTAAGGCTGGCCGGAAGCAGTGCCAGCAGGGCATCAGGTTAGGACTTAGAGCATGGAGCTGCTGCCGAGGGCTGTGCTTAAAGGGATCTTTTGGGAAATAAAGCCTTTTCTGAAAGATCCCTTATTCCTGATTTTAAGAGGAATAAGGGACGTTTCGGAAAAGGCTTTATTTTCCGAAAGATCCCGTCTAGACTGGCGCTTTTCTCCAGCAAAGCCTCGAGCCAGAAAAAAGTGGCATCCATGTTTATATAAATGAAGTGAGGGATATTTAAATCCCCCGCTTCGTTTGCAATTCCGACTTGTCTCATCTGCATCCCTTTTCCGGAAAAGGGGTGCAGTGTAGACACAGCCTTTGTGTCTTTCTGCAAGAGGTGAGGGCCATCAATGAGAAGCTGCTGAAGAGGCTGGTGTGTCTGGGAGACCAGGATACCATCATTGCTGGCTTTGCTGTGCTTGGCTTCCTGAACTGTGGAGGAGCCCTCAATGGGACACACATCCCAATCTGAGCACTGCCCCATCGAGCAGTCCAATTTATTAATCGCAAGGGCTACTTTTCTATGGTGCTGCAGGCCCTGGTCGACCACCGGGGACAGTTTATGGACACGTGTCGGGTGGTCGGGGTGGGTACATGATGCCTGCATCTTCCGCAACTCATACCTGTACCACAGGTTGCAGGCAGGGACATTTTTCCCACAGCGGGACCTCGCGCTTGGGGACATGCAGATGCCGGTGTGCATCGTGACTGATGTGGCCTACCCCTGATGCCGTGGCTCATGAAGCCCTATACCAGCCACCTGGATGTGAGCAAAGAGCTCTTTAACACGCATCTTAGCCAGGCTCGCGTGCAGGTGGAATGTGTGTTCGGCCGCTTGAAAGGGAGGTTTTATTACCTCCTCAGGGCCCGGCAAGCCCACCGCCTGTTCAGTCTATGAGACCAAAGTGTCTCAGGGGGACCTTGGTTCTTCCTATTAAGTCCTCAGCGGGTCCAAGGCCGCCACTAACGCCAAGGGAGGAGGGATTTAGGGGGACCCGGGACCTCCCTGTCCATGGGTCCCAACTCGGGGCCATAAGGGTGGGGTTTGCTCACCCCTACCCGGCTGATGGGGATCCAACCCGAAGCTCGCCAGCCCACGGGCGCCAAAAGCGCTCTCCCCCGGGTTGCTTCCTAACCCCCTCCGCCTGACCCCATTTGCGGGGAAGTTCCCTGGGTCCTATCGCTGCTTTGTCCTCCAGCTCCGGCCTGACGGGATTGCTGCCTCCTGAGCTCCCCAGAGGCCCCTCCGGTCGGGCTGTAGGGGAGTCTTCTTGCCTGCCACGGCGAGGGTCCGCCTCTGCACTCCCCTCCTGGCTCTCTCCTGGGCCCGGTTTAAATGGCCTGCCGCCGGACGTCACAGGACGTCGCTCTGCCCCTTCCATGTCCCTCCTCTCCGGCGCATGCCGGCTGTGC